GAGGTTCACGAGATTTTGCCTGCCTCTGAGGTTTCGGATGAGCCTGGAACACTCCCAGGGCTCCTTCCCACTGCCAGCCCCCACCATGCCGGGTAACTTTAGCTCTCAGCTTGATATGTGGCTTCTTCCAGGAAGCCTTCCGTGATGCTTGGCTCCTCCAGACGAGGTTGGGTATCCCCGTAACAAGGCTTCATTGTACCTCCCCTGAGCTCACATCACACTGTCTACCCCTCGAGGCGGGGACCAACGATCCCCAGTTCTCGGCCTGGCGGCTGGCACCTAAGGAGCCGTCACAAGGACTGGCTGGCTGAATGCAGGGAGGAATGAATGAGTGCCGGGGATGGGATACAATGAAATGCGGAGGCGTGAACGCACTTGAGGCTGGGCCTGGCTCAGGGCTGGGAGAGGACAAGAGTGGGAGGAGATGAAGATCATGGGATGGGGTCGGGCGAGACCGGGGACCCCGAGCCCTCCCTCGTCCTTGACCTGCTGTCCCTAGCAGCCATCAGGACATCTGCTAACGCTGCACGCAGGACTGGCTCAGGCCCAGCTCAGCCCCTTCCTCCGCCTGCCCCGCGCCCAAGGAGAAGCACCGCAGGTGTGGACAGGTCAGTTTATTTACAAATATACTCATGTCTCATTTTTTGTTGTTTGTCTCCATTTTCCACTTTTGTGGGAAGAGGCGGAGGGTGAGAGTGAGGGGCAGGGCGGGAGCGGTGATGTGGTAAACGCTAATAAATAATTTAACAATGACAAGTTATTAAATAAAATGTGTCTGGGGATGGTGGGTGGGCAGTGAGAGTCTGTACAAAGGAAACAGAGGAATGGCTAGTGGCCCGGTCCCCACACCCGGCTGGGCTTCCACGGGACCCCCAGGTGGCGACAGGGGGCGCCAGCAAAGAGGCTCATTGGCAGTGGCACCTTCGAGGACCAAGCGCTGGAGGGTCCTTCCGCTGCCGTGGCCCCGGGGCGCATGTGCCTTGAGCGTGGCCTGGGAGCCTCCGCGTGTGGCCGGGTGTGCGTGTGCGTGTGTGCGTGTGAGGACAGAGCCCCCTCCCCACAGCGCAGTCAGCCTGAGCTCCAGTGTCTCCCCCGCCCCAGCTGGTGCCCAGAGCTCAGGGCTGGAGCCAGGCAGGCGTCGGCCACCCTTCCTTCCCCTGAGGTTCCCTGTGTGCGAAGTGAACGGGGCAGCCAGGTGGGGGGCTGCCAAGGGGCCGCGGGGCTTCCTAAAGGAGAAGAGGCTGCCCCCAACCCCATGCTGGGGGCTTGACCCTGCTGGGCCCTGCTCATCCAGATGCGGCACTGGGGACTCCCCACCTCCACCCCCTCCAGGAAGCCCCCCAGTATGCCCAGCCCATTTGCGCCAACCCCTTCTCCTACAGGCTATGCTGGCCCCTTGATCTGACCCTTGCAACCACAGTGTCCTTCTGTGTGGCCCCCCATGAGTCTCCCAGGATGGCAGGGCACCTGGTGGACTTCACAGGGCAGGCCCAACCCCTTCTCCTACAGGCTATGCTGGCCCCTTGATCTGACCCTTGCAACCACAGTGTCCCTCTGTGTGGCCCCCCATGAGTCTCCCAGGATGGCAGGGCACCTGGGGGACTTCACAGGGCAGGAAGATATGGCCCTGGCTGGGGCAGGAGCCCTGCTTCTTGTCACTCCCCTGCCCTGACTCTGTGTTACCTGGGGCAGGTTCTGTCATCCTCTCTCTGATCCTTGACACTCCCAGCAGGGAAATGGAACTTGGCTTTTCTCCAAGACCCCCCCCCCCCACCTTCCACTTGCTGCCTCTTCTTCTGGAGCCCAGAGAGTGACCTCCCTCTTCCCTGGGCTTCTCACCCCAGCCCCCACAGTGACAGTGGTCTCACATCAGGGCAGGGGTGAGGGGTGGTCCTGGTGACTCTCCACCCGCCCCCGTCAGGGCTGCACTTCCTCCCATGAAGTGGGAAGAGGCTGTTCGCTTCTCTCCCCAAACCCCCAGCCCTGTGAGCCTGCTCAGCCCTGCATGCTGCTGCTGGGGAACCCTGAGTGTGTCACCTCCCTTCTGAGCCTCAGGTTCCCTATCTGAGAAATAGGTCCCTAACAGCGTCTGGACAGGCTGGGATGGGGTGTGTTTGCCTCTCATCTGAGGAGAGAAGCTCTCAAGGGCAGCCCTGCGTCTTGCCCATCTGTGTCCCTGCACCCCTTGCAGGGCTGGGTGGAGGGGGCAGCAAGTGCAGTGCACAGCGAAGGGGCCATCTCTGCATGGCTGTGGGTGTTTCTGGCACGAGGGGCTCCTTGAAGTCCCTTCTGGCTTGGACAATCTGTGGGTCATGAGCATGTGTCTCTATACTAGCTCCTGGCTTGGGGCAGTACGATGAAGGGAACAGAGGCCCAGGCTGGACTCGGGGGGCTGTGAAGCCCCCAAGAGGGAAGAGGTGACCCCCAGGGGTTGGCAAGTTACTAAGAACAAGGCATGCCCCCGGACCTGGAGGCCATTCCCAGACAAGGAGGCTGCCACATGTGCCTGTTCTCAGCTCCAGCTGTGGCTGACTTGCTGGAGACCTTGGGCAGGGCCCTTCCCCTCTCCTGGCTCAGGTTTTCCAGCTGTAGAATAAAGGGAAGGGAGGCTAGAGGACCCATTCCTGATGTTCCTTCCAACTTAAAGAGTCTGAGAGAAAAGGGCCAGGTCCCCTGGGGGCTGGGGTGTCATGCCTGGATCTGCCCCAAGTGTCCGCAGCATGATTCAGACTGTGCATGTGCAAAAGGAGAAAGGGGAGCATCTCTCAAGAAACCGGCGTGGCTGCCTAAGGGACCGGTGGTGGCACAGAGCCCGGAGGGAAGAGGCTGCAGAAGGACCCAGGACATCAACTGAGGTCCTTGGCGAAGTTCCCTTTGTTACAAGAAGAGCACAGAAGAAGAACACTGAAGGGCCAGGCTGGCTGCTTGGGCTGAGGGGCGACACTGAGACCCGCCTTCCCCTCTGCCAACTCTGCCCTGGCGAAGGGCATGGGGAGGCATGAGTGCCGAAGCCCAGGAGGGTGAGATGATGGGCCAGGGCAGCCTGGAGGATTGGGGCCCACCCAGCAGACAGAAGAGCAAAGCTGCAGAACAAGTTGGTAAACTTGAGGATTCTAGAGAGAGCAAGGCAGAGGGGCCAAAGGTGGAAAGAGACCCCCATCATCCTTACGTGCTCAAAGGCTAGATGGGGCAGACCTCAGGGCAGACCTTTAGGCTTGACTTCAGAGTTAAAGGCAGGGTTGTGAGCACCTGAACCAGGACACAGTGATGACCAGGGCCCAGCAGCCTGACCTTACTTGCTCTTTTGACAGGAAGAGAGCTGAGTAGGTTGGGGGCTGGGGGTTGGCGCAGGGTATCTGACTTCTGGCAGAGCATTGACAAGGTCCTCTGCAACCTCCTTGTGAGTTGGGGGCTGCAAATGCGGCTGGAAGACACCATCCAAGGGGGATGGGTTAATGGGCCAAGCCCAAACAGGGAGAGGCCCCGAGGTCCACACGCTGGGGTGAAGCACACAGGGCCGACTCCTCACGTCGGCAGAAGTGCTGGGGAGGGAGAGCTCAGTGGTCAGGGTGGGGTGCAGAGAAACTCCACAGGCTGGACTGAATCAAACAGGAGAAAATGGACAAGAAAAAAGTCATTGTCCGTCACTGTCCTAAACAATGAATGCCCCCCTCCTATCCTGCATATACTAAGAGGGGGGATGTGGCTTTCACTGTCACGTGTATGTGAGGGCCGGCAGATTCAGGTACGGAAGGACAGGGTGAGTTTCCAAGGTCATGTGGCCCAAACCATTCAAGGATCTCGGGCCACATGACCAGCGGCAGGGCGCCTAGAGCAGGAAGGCGATGCGCCTGCTTGCTGGTGTGGGTGGGAAGGCCGGGTTACATCGGCACCACGGCTTTCGAGGGAAACGAGCCCAGCTAGGGGTACGGTTTTCAGAAGAGGAGCTGCAGAAGCGGCTTAGAGAAACGAAGACTTGGGGTTGGAAAGGGCTGAGGCAAAACCAGCAGGGAGGGGCAGCTGCTTCGGGACACACTAAAGTCGTGAGCTCCTTGTCACTGGAGGTATGTGAGGAGAGGCAGAGGTGGCTTGGGAGGAGCCAAACATCAGAGGGAGTGCCGAGAGGGTGACTTTTGAGGTCCCTGTCCACTTGGAGGCTGTGCTGTTTGACCTGATTCTACATGGTTCCGGGGCCCCTTCTCTGCCCCTACAGTTGGTGGAGTCTGGGGCTGTACTCCCTGCCCAGGCAGCCCCCATCGGGGCCCAGACTAGGGAGCATCTGGGTCCTTCAAGCTTACTCCATCCTCTCCCCTTCCTCTCTCTCCACTTGCTCTAAGAAGAGGGGTCCCTGCCCTGATCCCTCCTTCTTGCCCCTTCCTGACAAGGTGGGGCAAGCCCACCGAGCGTCCCTGTGTCTCTCTCAGCATCTCTGCGTGTCTCTGTGCACATCTGCAGGGCTGTGCGTGTGTTTGCATGTGCGTCTCTGTCCCTTTGGCTCTGCCTGGGCTCTCTATCCACACCCTGTCCTTCAGTGACACCCCCTCAATGCAGAGCCGGGGACTTGTCCACTGCCAGCTCTGCCCCACTTCTGCTCCAGGTTCGGGCTGGGAGGGGTGACCCTAGGCCAGCAAGTCTGCCCTCACTGGGGGGGGAGTGGGCACTGGCGTGGGGCGTGGAGGTGAGCTGGACACAGAGAGGACGTTTAAAAAAATAGAGAAAATTTAAGTTTCCCAAAAAAGAGATGGGGAGGGAGAAAGAGGCGATGGAGGCCGAGAGCTCTGGGTCCCTGGGGGTGACAAGGTCTCTGTGGGCGGGACATGGCCTCTGCCCAGGCTGAGCCCCACGGGCATGTCGGCCGGCCTGGCTGGCCGAGGGGAGGGCACCGTATGGCTGTCTGCAGAGTCTGTGCGGGCGGCGGGCCGGGGCTGGCGAGGCTGGCTGCTGAGGCCGTAGTCCCACCCCGGGCCTCGTGCCCGGCGTCCGCGCGGCCCGGCTGGCTCTCAGGAGGCGAAGTAGGAACTCTGCATGGAGTAGAGTCGGTCGATGGGGTTCCCCACACGGGCCTGCAGGGAGCCCACTTCCGAGGAGCCCAGGAAGCAGTCGCTGAGGCTGGTGAGGGAGGTATCGCTGTCGATGTCGTGGAAGATGGAGTCGTTCCCTGGGGGCAGAAGGGGCGTCAGGACCAGGGTGCGGGCTGGGGCTCTTGGGGCCCCTTCCTGTCAGGAGGAGGCAGGCGGGCTGTTGTTGGCTGGGCCTGCTGCGGAGGGGCTGTCACGGCCCCAGGCCTGCTGGGCCAGTCAGGGGGCAGGGCGGCTTACCATAGGGGTTCATGTGGTCACCTGGCATTTGGGGCGGCGTGAGGCCCTGCTGGAAGGGGTCGCTGCTGCCATAGGGACTCTGCTCCATGGCCACGATCTGCTGCTGCGGCGGGGCCAGCGGCGTGTAGGAGGCCATCATGCCCTCCATGCGGCTTGACAGGACCTCTGGGGACACAGCACGCCTTCACCCACTGGCCCTGCCCTCCTCAGCCTGGCAGTCCCCCACGGAGCCCCTGAAGATGTACCCAGGAGTCCCTCTGACCTCCTTGGGACTCCCCAGGTCCCCCTATCTGGCTGAGTTGCCCAGACATCTGACCCACCCTTCCCAGACACACACTCCAGCTCCTCTTCCAGAATCAGGTTATCAAAAGCCAAACAGCCCCCCACCACCTCTGTCCCTCCCACTGCCCCGTCCTCCAGGAACTCACAGCCCTCAGGGAGGCGGACCCCTGAGCAGGCCACAGGGGTTCAACAGTGCACTCTGCTTCTGGGAGCACCAAAGCGGGGTCCTAAACTCAGTCCACAGAGGCCCAGGGGAGGCTTGCTGGAGGGAGGGGCCCCCACCCACCCAGTGTGACTTAAAGAACCAGCAGGGGTTCACTGGGGGGTGGTGCATGCATGCCAGGCTGAGGGGCAGCAAAGGTGCAGAGGAGAGAAGCTGCGGGGGGCGAGGGCGGGGAGGATCAGAGAGACAGAGAAGGCCCCGGTGTGGGATGGACTGGCTGGTCACGGGGGACCTTTGGGGGTTAGGGGCGTAGCTGAGTGGGGCATCCCCCTCCCCCCCAGACTGCCGGAAGCCAGGGGAGGGTCTCAGCAGGGGAGGGGCTGTGAGAAAGGCTGTGAGGACAGAACACTGAGGCTGGGGTCCAGCGGGAGGAAGATCAGGTGGAGGGGTGGAGGGGCGGGGTCTCTATCAAGCAGTTGTGGGAAAGACAGCTACCAGGAGGGCATGAGGGACATGGGACAAGGAACCACTCCCTGTCCTGAAGATTGGGCGGGTGCAGTGAGTGCAGGGCAGGAAGGGCTGGAGGTGACTGCTGGGATCCTGGCTCGGGTGACTGGGTGGCTGGTGGTGCCATTTGTAGAGATGGGGCTGGGAGGAGCAGGGCACGTTGTGTGCATGTGGGCAGTGATGTGGGGTACAGTCTGGGCCGAGGGGAGCTCGGAGCATTCTCAGGGAGGCTGTGTTCAAGAGGTAGCTGGGAACCACAGAGGTCAGGACGGACAGAGGAGGACAGAGAAAACCGACCATGTCCCTAGAAGCCCTGAGTCCAGACTGGGACACTGGAGTGGCTCCCAGAGTCCTGAGTTGAAGGGGCTGCCCCTCAGTGCCCTGGCATCTGGGAGCAGGTGGCTACAGCCACCCCCCCCCAACCTCAGCAGCCTCAGGGAGCTCCCTACACCCCCTCTTCACAGCCTTGAAGCTTCAATGTCCCCATGGGGCCCAGGAGACCATCTCTGGTCCAAGATTCTGATGTGGAGGCAGCATTTAGGCAAAGCCCAGTGTTGGGGGGCCTGACCCCTGCCACTTAAACTGGCCCCTCTCCACCCATGAGCCCACCCTAGACTCCTCAACCCCGTGACAGACTTTATCTGTAGACTTCCACTGAATTCCATGGTGACTGGCAGGGTAGTTTTGTCCTGTGAAAAGCACAGGCTTTGAGCCCCATATTTGGGCTGAGGCCCGGTTTTGCCCCTAAGTAGCTGAGTAATCCCTGGCAAATCCCTTAATCTCACCTAGCCTCAGTTTCCTCATCTGTGAAATAGGACTAACACCCTTCCTTGCAGGGACTTATGAGAACTGAGTGAGATGAAGTGTGCTGAGGGCTGAGGGCACTGCCTGCCTGGCATGTGGTGAGCGGAACAGATGCTGCTATTTCGATTGCAAAATTCTGCCACCGCTCCGGGCTACCCGCCCTGCCGTCTCTCCTCCCTGTGTCCCCTGCTCCCCTTCACTTCTCTCCTTTATCAGTCTCAGTTGGTTCTAGGGCAGAAGTTCCCTGGGGTCTGAGGGCCTTGGTGGAAGGTGTCTTGGGAGTCTTGTTTAAAGAGACAGCCCAGGCCCCTCTGTCCCTGTCCCCTAGGTTGCAGGCTGAGCCCGGGCCCCGGCTCACCTTGGCCCAGCCGCTGGGAGTTCTGCTGCTCCTGCTGCTGCTGGTGCCGCCGCGCCAGCTTCTTCATCTGCAGGGACAGCACAGTTCATGCCAGTCCTGCCTCCCTGCCCCCTTTGTGCCCAGCCCACCTGCATCAGGCCCGCCCCACCCTCTGCCCCCTTCACGCCCAGCCCCATCCGCATCTGGACCACTGTTCTGCCTGTCCCCTTCTACTCCCAGCCCTGCCCCAGGCCAGCAGGGGTGGCCTCTCACCTTTGCTCTTTGGTTCTGAAACCAGACCTGGACCACGCGCACGCTGAGGCCCGTCTCAGCCGCCAGCGTCTCTCGGACCTGGCCCGGAGACAGGGAGACAGGTCAGGCACGTGGGGGGCAGCCCCTGGGAGGTGGTGGGTGTCAGGGGGACATCCCCGCCCGCAGCAAGAGCAGAGGGGGTGGTATCTGGAAAGGTGGCCGGTATGTGGTGTCAGCCCTGTCCCCACCCACCTCAGCCACACTCACCTTCCGGCAGGGCTTGGAGGAGACCTCGAAGGAGGCCTTGAATGCTCTTCGCTGCTGCGTGGTCAGGATGGTCCGGGGTCGCTTGGGCCTCCGTGGGTCCTTCCCGTCATCCCCGCTGCCTTTGCTCTGGCTGCCCTGCCCCTTGGCTGGCTTCATGTCCCCATCCTCGTCCTCGCTCTTCACTGTGGGGGACACAACCCAGACGGTCAGGGAGGGCTGGCGGGCAGTCCCAGGTCCCAGCCTTGTACCCATAAGTGATCTGCTGCCTGATAAGATCCCATCTGGTCCCTCATCTCCTGCACCCCTGTGCCCCACGTGTCCCTTCCCCAACACACACTCCTCACGTCCTCCTCCTAGACTCCAGGCCCCCGACCCTGCTCTGCTGACCACACAGGCGACCCACACAGGAACATACACAGGTACGCCATGGCTAACCCCAGGTGCAGATGTGCACACACGTACACACAGCTGCACACTAGAGGCGCACACAGTCAGGAAAGTGTCGCTGCAGGCCCATACAGGGAACAGGTACACAGGTGCACACACGTGGTTGTGCACATGTCTGTGTGTGTGTATACACACAAGTGTGCACAGGTGCATGAATGCTCACACGAGAGGGCATGTCTCTTGCCCCTTAGGGCCAACAGAGCCCTTGAAGAGAGATGATGGCATCTGGGGCCCATTCTGGCCATGGGCTTCCCCTGACCCCTCTTGTCTGGGGCTCACCTTGTCCTGCTGACCCCTGACCCCTTGGATACCCCAGCCCAGTATGCCAGCCTTCAAGAAAACCAGTTCCCTCTGTACTAGCCCAGCGCCAGCCAGGCACCAGGGCCCAAAGAGAAGAATGCAAGGAGCCTCCTTCCCTGAAGCTTCCAGGGACTAAGAATTGACAGGTGAAGCCATACGCATAGGACATTTCACACAGGGGTACTCATGACCACAGCGTGCGTGCGTGCACACTTACCCACTGGCACATGCAGACTGGCACATGGGCCCACAAAAGCCCAAGCACATGCAGCTCACGGATGTATTCACACACACAGGCACGTGGTCACAGTCAGAGACACAGGGGCCCACACACATTTGAACAGCGGTACTCATGACCACAGCGTGCGTGCGTGCACACTTACCCACTGGCACATGCAGACTGGCACGTGGGCCCACAAAAGCCCAAGCACATGCAGCTCACGGATGTATTCACACACACAGGCACGTGGTCACAGTCAGAGAAACAGGGGCCCACACACATTTGAACAGTACACAGCCGGCACAGGGAAGCACGTGTATTCACCCAGTGACCCCCACCACCTCTGCTCACGTGGCACATCTGTGCCCCGAGTTTTAGATCTCAGAGATGCCGGCCCAAATGGATGGCCAGGCCCCCCCCCCCATCACTGGGGCTACTGGTGTCCCTGCCTCTGAACTGGTCTCGTCTCTCTAGCCCTGTCTTCCTCGGAGAGTGAGTCCCTGTGGAGGGGCCGGTCTCCCTGCTGCGAGTCCCCCTCTCCTAGGCTCTTATGAATGGACCAGCAGCCCGGGCCAGCCGCTGCTCTTTTTGAACAGCACACAGCCGGCACAGGGAAGCACGTGTATTCACCCAGTGACCCCCACCACCTCTGCTCACGTGGCACATCTGTGCCCCGAGTTTTAGATCTCAGAGATGCCGGCCCAAATGGATGGCCAGGCCTCCCCACCCATCACTGGGGCTACTGGTGTCCCTGCCTCTGAACTGGTCTCGTCTCTCTAGCCCTGTCTTCCTCGGAGAGTGAGTCCCTGTGGAGGGGCCGGTCTCCCTGCTGTGAGTCCCCCTCTCCTAGGCTCTTATGAATGGACCAGCAGCCCTGGCCAGCCGCTGCTCTTCCTCAGGAGTCCAGACAGCCATGGGACCGGCCACAGGGGTGCCCTGTCCAGCGATGGACAGGGACAGGTGATGGAGCACTCACTACCCTGGCAGTGACAGACCCTTCCCACGTGGGCGATCCTGTGATTGTGGGACTCCATTTCACCCAAAGGGCCCAGCAGACCAGGGTATCTCCTTTTGACATTCCCTCCTCCAGTCCTTCCCTGCTATTCCCAGGAATGACAAGGATGCTGGCCATCTCCCAGCCTTTCCCTCCTGAAAACTTAGTCCTGGCTGGCCCTGCCCTTCCTGCCAGCAGGGCTCCAAACTGACATAGTCCTTTTGGGGGCCAGACCAGAGAGGTACCTTCGACCTGGAAAAGGGGGTCTTTCTGTATATCACAGAGGGCCCCAGCCCCACGCCCCCAAGGAAACAGGGAATAGCTCAGGGCTGTCTGCTCCCCACTGATGAAGGCTTTGTGGGGCCGAGTTCAGGAGGACATGTCAGATCCCTGACTCTCACACGTCCCTCGCCTGCAGATCTGGTGCTGGAAAAGACCTCTGTGGCACTGTGCCACATCAAGGAAATCGAAGGTGAGGGTGTTGGGCCAGAGAACAAGGGATGTGTGTGCATGTGTGTGCACATGTGCAAACCATAGTACATGTGAGCATGTGTACAAACATACATGTGCAGCATATGTATAGATGCTTAGTGCACAAGTCTCCTGGGTCATGTGTGTATGCGTGTGTACCTGGGTGTGGGCTTTGTATGCTTGGGTATGTGAGCACATGCCTAGATATGTATGTATGTACATGTATATAGACTCCTAGGGATGAATACCCCCGTGCATCTATTTATGTGTGCGTATGTGTGACTCAGGGTAGTATCCAGAGGTGCACTTTATGTGACCGGAGGGAGGTATGCACATTAGAGTCTGTGTACACGTGTGGATGTGAACATCAGTGCATATGGGGGATGGGCACAGTGTAGCTGAGGCCCCGGGGTCAGGAGCCAGACTCTAAAGGTGGGACACCCTTCTACGCACCCTGCTGGGTCCCCCGTCCCTGAGGCCTGCCCTCCAGCTCCGGGCCGGGGCTCACCAGAGTCAGACTCGTCGGGGCTCACGGAGCTGAGCAGGTCCTTCTCCTTCTCGTAGTCGCCCTTGCATAGCAGCTGGCCCTCCTTCAGCACAAACTCGTCGCCCTTGCGCAGCTGCCGCTCACACACGCAGCAGCAGAAGCAGCCCAGGTGGTACACACATTCCAGAGCCCGCATCACAAACTCGGTGGGGGCGATCTTCTCCATGCAGCCGCTGCACTTGGCCGCGAAGAGCCTGCAGGTGCACAAAGGGGGTGTATTGGCTGGGCTCACTGGTCCCTCCCAGAGGCCACTGCCACTAAGGGCCTCTCCCTCCTGCCACCCTGACCCTCAGGCCCAAGTGGGAGAGGCCCTCCCTGGGAGCAGGGCCAGACACTGGGAGGGCCCTGCAGCCCTCCTCTTCTGCTTTGCAGGCCCCTAGCGGCCCCCAGGCTGGGCTCTGGGCTTCCTGCCCAGAGGTGCCCTCTCCTGGGTGCATCAGCTCAGGGCCCTTCCCGCTCAGAGACACAGTGGCCACTAGAGGGCAGAGTGCAGGGTCAGTCTCAACCTTCCCAGAGGGCCAGGTCAGCCCTGTCCTGAGAGTCCTGTCCATCCTCACTCTGACCTGCTCTGCCACCTCCCTGTTCCTCCCTCATCCCCGCATCCAAGCAATTCCCAGCCCTGTCCAACCCACCACCCAGCCTGGGCCCCTCCTCTCCTGCCTGAGCAGCTGCCCCAGTCCCCTCCGTGGGCTCCTGGTCCCTCCAACCCTTCCACCCTCCTCCCCACCCCACACACAGGAGCCAGAGGGATCTTTCTAAAACACACATCTGATCATGCTTCTTCCCTGCTCCAGATTCTTCCATGGCTCCCTAGTGCCCTTAGGAGAACATCCAAGCTCCTGAGCCTGGCACTCAAGGTCCCACATGATCCTGCCTCTTCCCTCACCACCCTTTGCTTCCCCACAGAACAGCCTGCAATTTCTCCAGAACACCGTCATGGTGGCCTTTCAACATGTTCTTTCTCTGTCCCTTGGCTTGGTTGATGCCTTCTGTTCCCTCCATTTCAGCTTACGCATCTCCACCACGAACAGACATTTACTGAGCATGCACAGCATGCCAGCCGCTGCTCTAAGCACTTTACAAGCAGAAATGCATTTAATCCTTGCAAAAGCCCTGTGAGACAGAATGAAAACTAACCCCATTTTAGAGATAAGAAAATGGAGGTGCCGAGGCAGAGTCGCTTACTGAGGTTTGCATGGGTGGTAAATGCTGAAGCTGACTCCCAACCTGGATCTGATCCAGTCACTCCATGGCAAAGTGGTTGCATCTCCTGTCTCTGGAGACAAACCCAGGAGGGGTCTGGGCACCTCTGGCCCTCATGTGCAGGAGGGTCTGGGCAGCACAGCCCCTCCTCTGCCCATGCCTGCTGACCGCTCCTCTCGGCACCCCCACCCCATCATATGCCCAACTCTGTGGGAACTCAGCCTCAACAACACTTTGATGGAAAAATTTATGAAGAATCAAATTATTGCTGCTGGGAGGGAATTAAAACCATTTTTCATTCCCTGCGTCCCCGGGCCACGTCTGCGGGCGCCACCTTGGGAGCACTGTGCACATCCCATCCCTCTTTATGGCCCGCCATCACGGGCACAGATTACAGCTGCAATTCTCTACTAATCGGTTCTGGAACAGAAATGGCCATAAATGTGAGGCACTCGGCCTGCCTCCCTTCCCGGGGCTGCCATCAGCACCGCCCACGGTGAGGTGGTGGGGTGTAGTGCACAGGGCCAGTTCCAGCTCTGCCTACTGTCCTGGCACTGGCCAGGGCACTCAGCTTGGGGGCACCCCCAGCGACTCCTGCCACCCACCTCTATTCTACCTGGCAGGCTCCTACTCACGCTGCAATGCCCAACTCCGATGCCACCTCCTCCAGGAAGCCTTCTCTGATGCCCATTCTGGGGGAGCTGGCCTCCTCTAGGGTCTCCTGAACTTCCCTCTGGCCTTAGTTGACTCTGCCATAAGATGGGGATGTCAACAGGACCTCCCTCGAAGGCTATTTTCAGGATTTGATGATAGTGACCACTTACTCGGTGAGTATCACAGCAGAATGACAATGCATGTCCCCATGGGCACCCAACTCTACTAGGATTCCACAAGGCAGAACCTGGCTCCACCTCATCCTCAAAGAGACCTCAGCGTTTGTGCAGTAGTGAGCAAAAGGCTGGGATGGGATGGGCTCAGGCCAAGCTCTCTGCTCCAGGCAGGCAGGACCCCACTAGCCCACATAGCACATGGCTTTGCAAAGCGAACATGGGCTGGATTTTGGCTTGGATTTGGCCTTTGGCTGGATACCTTTGTTCAGGGTACAATCTACCCAACTGTCCATGGCAGCCTTAGGCAGGGGCTAGGAATCTGCTTGGCTGTCCAGCTCTGCAGAGGAGCTGAGGACAGAGCCCGGACTTGCAGAACCTGCTGCTCTGACATGGAGGACGCTCCTGCCCTGCCCCCTCACTGTGCCTCTGTCCCCTCCCCATGCTCTACCTGACCTGGGGGCCCTACAAAGGTCTGCAGCCTGACCTTTGTGGCCCATAAGCTGACAGGTACTGGCCATGTCTCTGCAAACACGCAGGGCCAGGGTCCCAGGCCAGGGTCAGCACACCTTGGGCGGCTCCCAGAAAGGAGATCTTCTTGGGCTGGGGAGGAGGGCACCAGGGCGGGTGACCCGCATTTGCAGTCAACTCCATCGAGCAAGCTGGCTGCATTCAGAACAGCCACGCTAATGCCTTGGCAGCAGGGGGTCGATTGCTACTTTCTCCAAACTCATCAACACAATCTATTATTAATACTTCTCCAAAGGCTCAGTGCCGCCATTACAGAGGCAGCGCCAGCCACTCGGGGCATCATCTGTTATCTAGATTACAAAAACTCGGGAAATAAAACAAACTGCGTGCACTTTATAAACAGAATGTGCCATCCGTTTGGTCTCCAAGCATCTCTCCACCCAATAAAACATCGGGGGGGATGCATGAAATACTCACTCCCAATTATGGGGCTGCCTTTGTCTACCATGCTGGGGTGAGAGCTACTAACGGCATGGGGAGAGCTGGTGGGGTGCCAGCGGGGTCCCCTCCTCTCTGTGAGCCCCCATTCCCTCCCTCCATCCATCCCACCATGGAGGGATTGGTGGAACCAATCTCTGAGAAGCTGTTGGGAAGCAGGCCCAGCCACAGGAAGGTGGCTGGAATCAGATGGACTCGGGTTCCACGCCTGGTTCCACCACTTGCTGGTCGGTGACTGGGCAAGTAATTTCCTCTTTCGGAGTCTCGATTTACTTTTCTGTATAATGGGCTTAACAACACTGCCTGCTTCTCAGCATGCAGATGCAGTGAGTTGTCAGTGTAAAGCGGCGGACACAGAGGGCACGACCTGGAGCTCCACCCTGGCTCCATAACTTTGTCGCTGTGTGACTTTGAGCAAGACATCTAACCTCTCTGAGCCTCAAATTAATCTATAATAAGGGAATGATCACACCTAACTATGAGGTTGTTGAGAAGGCTTCATGCATTTAGAGCCCTTGGTCCCGTGCTGGCATGAAGGAGGCACTCCACAAAAGTCTGCTGTCATTTTGTCCGTGTGCCCAAAGCACCTTTGTTGATCACCCTTACTGGGATCTCCACGATTCCTGGCATCAGCTTCCCTGACACCGACTGGGCTTACAGGTCTCAATCATGCCTCCCGTTTGTGACCACACTGGGTTCCGGGCTGGCCCTCCTGGCTTCTGGCAGGCCTGATCTGGACAGAGCCTCCTGGCTCAGTCACCTGTCTGGCTCACCAGCATTATTGAGCACTGACAGTGTCCACTTCTAATCTGCCTGCGCCACCTCCTTAAACTGTCACAGAACCCTGAAAGGAAGACGCTGCTTCCATCCCCTTCCAGAAGAGCACACCAAGGTACAGAAGGCAGGTTACTCATTCAAGGTCACATAGCAATATCTCCAGAAACTTCCTCCCTGCTCTGTGCATCCCAGTATGGCTTCGCTCACCAATCACTCTTGCCCCGTGCTCTGCCTGCCCCCAAAGCTGTGAACATCCCTGGGCAGGGGCCCCATTCACCCCAAGTTCTTATTACTCAGCACGAGCCCAGCCTCCAGAAGGTGGGGCTGAGCATTTGAACATCACTCTCATGCAAACACATCTCTTTTTTTTTTCCTAGTGCGATCATCCATGATTATGGAGTAAGCAATCCCATTTTTAGGGACGTCCCTTTCTTGAAGAGTCCCAGGCTGTGAGAATGCATCTCTATCTCCTCTGAGTTTTTATTGGTTTATTTATTTAATGCTCAATTTATTAAACCCATATAGCTAACAAACAAAACACTGAAAACCAATTTTTCCAGGAGCATTTGAATGTGGATTACAAATCAGATTAATTTCTCTTAAACCACTGACAACTGCAGAGATACAAAGATGTTTTACCTCTGATAAAATTGGCTTCCTAATGCCCTGGGGCACTCCGGCCTCTCTGGGAATGTCTTCACCCCCAGATCCCGGAGTCTGCATAGCATACACAAGGCTGGGCATCCTGGCTCTCTCTCTTCCTAGCACTGGAACCCTGCATAAGTCCCTTCTCTTGAGCCTCAGTGTCTCTATCTGTCCAATGGGGATAATAACAGAAGCTCCCTTACAGGCCTAGGCCCATGCAATGGGCTCAGTGCACGGGGATCTTGATCACCATCCAAGACTTCTGGCACCCACCCACCAAGCTCCCTCACGTCTTCCTCACTGTACTGCCATCCCCACACCCCATCACCACACTTTACAGTTGGTGTAGCCTTTCATTGTGTTTTCAGAACTCACTCCAGTGGGCCTCTCTACTCTCAGTGGGCCTCCTCCGCCCCTCAAGACAACCCCAGTCAGTCCGCCATCATCAGCCTCAGTGACGATTCCCAGCCTCCTCTGCCCTTCCTCCAGCTCCCCAACCACGTCCTGCTCCTACTCAATGGACAGTGTCACTTCCCATTTCTTAGAAGAAAATAAGGCTTGGGGAGAAACACCCAAAGTTTGGTCTTGCTTCCTCATCAGGTGAAATCAGATTACACACCCCTTTTGCTTCAGGATGTCCAAGAGCACCCAACAATTTCAGGATGAGCCCAAAGACCTAATCACGGCACTCAAGGCCTCACCTGCCCCTGTCACGTCTGGCTCTAGCAGCCAGGTTTCTCATGGCTTCCAGAGCACAGCAAGTCCTTTCTTGCCTCCTTAGCACTTAAAATTCCATCTGCTTCCAAGGCCTGTCCTCTCTCCCCCTTTCCTTTGCTTCTTGTTGAACTGCTCTTCATCCTTCAAGACCCAATTCAAGTGTCACCTCCTCTGTGAAGCCTTCCCTGATGCCATATTCCCAGCTGCTATCCAGCTGCTTGTGTGTCTGAAGCCCCTACTCAACTAGAAATCAGACACTTGGCCTAATTCACCCCCTGAGCTCTGGCATTGAGGAGATAGTGTTGAATGAATGAACACCCCTGTGAGAAATGAAATGGGCTGCCAGGTAGGACAAGAAAATATTAGATATTCTGCTTCTAGGGGTCTGAGAACACCAGCAGGTAATAAGATAAGTGAACTCATGCCCTCCCCAGCTCCTCGCCCCCTTCACAACTACACAACTTGGAGTCCAGTTTCCTAAATTTTTATCAGTGAAATTCCATGCCTGCTTGTTGGGCTGGGAGCCCAGCAGCAAACCTCCCCAGCACCAACTGCACCTCATGCCCTCCCCAGCTCCTCGCCCCCTTCACAACTACACAACTTGGAGTCCAGTTTCCTAACTTTTTATCAGTGAAATTCCATGCCTGCTTGTTGGGCTGGGAGCCCAGCAGCAAACCTCCCCAGCACCAACTGCACTCTCATCCCTAGTACAAAGGGGAAGACCCGGGGGTGACACCTTCATACTAAACGACTCTCTTGACCACAGTGATTGGACAAGGCCTGGATATCTGATGCAAGGCAGGCCACCTGGACCACTGTTCTTGTGTCTTCCTTCCCCTGCTCACTCAAGAACTCTTTGTCAGCCCCTACCCCATCTTCAGGTGTGTGGCTTTCCATATCTCCAGCACCAGCTGTACAGCTTTGGGTAATTTGCCTCCTTTCTTTAAGACTCAGTTTCCTCTTCTGTAAAATGGGGGTACTGGCCCCTCCCTCACTGGGTGATTGAGAATCCTACGAGTTTTGACCCATGCAAGGAGGCTTAGCCCAGTGCCTGGCACAGAAAGGATCTTGATGGGTATGTGCTCCTTTCTCCTCCCCATGTCTCTGTGTGCCTGGTGTGGGTTTTGGAACCTTCTCTTCCTCACCTTGGATTTCAGTCTGAAGCTCCCTGATCACATTGTTGAGTCTGTGCTCTCCCTGTCTCTCTATCCTTTTGTAGGTATGGGCTTCTGTCAGACTCTCCTCACCCAGGGCCATTACTGGGGACCAGGCAGATTCTGGGCCTGGTTTCCTTAATGTCCTCTCCAGGCCCAAGCCTCACAGACCCTGGAGCAAACACTGCTGGAAATACCCTCCTTCTTCCATGCAGACAATGAAAACGGGCACCTGGAACCGTAGCCCATCTGTCCCCACTGGCTGGCTACACCTTCTTGAATTCACCCAGCACATACTCATGGAGGCTGACTCAGAGCCAGCTCCTGAAAGATGCTTGGGGCACAGGATTAGACCAAATCTCATCCCATGGGAGCTGGCACAGTGTGACATGTGCTTTGATGGGGCACTGGGGTGTGCTAAGCAAGCTGGGAGGCACAGAAAGCAGCAATAGATAATCTGGAGGAGAGCTGAGGACTTCCTGGAAAAGGTGACGTGACATATTTAAGAGCCTGGTTCTGGCGGCAGCAGGAACGAGTCTGAATCCCAGCTCTGCCACTTTCTAGCTGCATGACCTTGGGGTAAGCCTCCTCCGCTATCTGAACCTGTTTTCCCATTTGAAAACTGGGGATCACAATCCGCACCTTACAGGTATTTACCCTCCCTGTGCCACATCTCCTTCCTAGGCTGGTGGAGAGGACCCTGGGATGGAATGCTTGTAGGGCGCTTAGGACAGTGAGCGCTCCATATAGTGGCTAATGCTCTATTGCCGGCGGGACTGGGATGGTGATGCTGGCTGAAGGATGAGCTGCAGTTCACCGGAGCCGAGGGGACAAGACCCTGAACACTCTCTGGGCAGCTGCTGCTGCTTGAGTCAGCCTGTCACTTGGCAGAGGGAACTGCCTGGCCTCCTCCCTGCCCGACTCGCTGACATCTGCCCCACGTGCCTGCTGAGTCCTTATCATTCCCGGCGTAGCTGTTTTTTATTTGGAGACAAAAAGGGGCCTGTTGATGGGGATCCAACTCAAACCAGCTGCAAACATCTGCTTTGATGCGGCAGCGGCCGGCCGGCTGGGGCGGCGGCGGGAGCCGCAGGCTGGGGCCCCGGTGC